CCCCAGAGGGGGGCGAGGGGGAGGGAGGGGTGGCGGGGGTGGCGGGGGCGGTGGAGGTGGTGCTGGTGCAGGAAGTGCGGACGAGGTGGTGGGGGCTGACACCCCAGAGCACCAGCAGGAGCAGCTGCAGCCGCCGCAGCAGACGCAGCAGCAGCCGCAGCAGCAGTGGAGGGCCCCGCTGCCGTGGTGGCCCGGCGGCTTTGGTGGTGGTAGCCGCGGAGGCGGCCCTCACAACTCGACGTCGGATGGCGACCCCAGTTCTATGAGTTGCCAGTACAATACCCAGTCTGGTCCCCTTCATGGCACCGTGTGTGACCGTCTCGGCCACACTGCTGCGCGCTGCTACCACCGTCTTGACGATCTCTTCCGTCTCCGCTTCGGGCACACGCCATCCCTCCCGGACTGGCACAGCCGGGTACGTCGTCGTGTGCCGATGTTTGAGCTAGACATGGATCAGATTCGATCTACTATGTACGCCATGTATCCTGCTGACTCTAGTGTGATTGCACCTTATTACTCTATTTTGCCTAGCCTAGGTGTGTCATCTGAGTGTAGTCTAGGCTCCCTTGCGGTGTAGGCGTAGGACCTCAGAACTTGTTTAGCCTTGGCTCTACGCTAGTGCCCCCTCCGGCTGCCGCTACTGCTGTGCTCTCCTTTACGCTGGAATCTGGTGCGTCTGCCTACTTCTTTCGCGACCACACTACTCTCACGCCACTTGCCTCCCCAGCATCTGACGCCCTTGTGGACCCCTTCCCGGTCCGGTAGTTGCATGTAGCTCCACTAAAATTCCCTGTCCGGTAGTTCCCTCAGGTTCTCTTACAAGTCTGCACATCCCCTCGTCCTCTAGGAACCTAGTTGGTGTCGGCTGTCTTCAGGACCTCGGCATCATCCGTACGTTTCCTGGGCATGAGCAGTACGGAGTCCGTACTGACGCTGCCACTGGTATCCCCCTCACCACGTTCCCCCAAGATCCGGTGTCTGGCCTGTTCACGCTGGACACCGCGCCCCCTGTGTCCCCCCAGGTGGCTGCGTCTATCCAGGTTGCCGCGGCTTGTTCGTGTCGGTTGCTCACTCACCCGTCGCTTTTGTGGCACCACCGCCTAGGTCACTCCGCACTCCTGTGTCTATATCACATGTCCCAAAACGGTCGTCTCAGGTCTCCTTGCGTCGTTCCCTGCCCTCCCTCCCTCGCCTGCGCCCCCGTGCACTGAGAGAAGGGTCGGCAAAACCTGTGGCGTTGGTGGTGCGGACTCTGCGGAGGGTTCTGGTTCTAGGGTGCTAGTCCTGGGGGTGCTGGTCCTGGGGGTGCTGTGGTGGCGAGTCATGGGGGTAGCAGTGGTGCAGCTGGCGGTTCTCGTGTGGGCGCGGAGCAGCAGCAGTAGTCGCCGCCAGTGTTCGCCCTTTGCCTCCTCAGTCTTCCCTTTCCCGACCGACCGTCCGCGCCTCCCCTAGCACCGTTTCCTCCTCCTGTCTACTACCCCGTGTTCCCTTCGCTGGACTCGTCCCCGACTCGTTTCCCTCCTCGTTCTCCTCCCGTGTCTCCTCCTTTGTCTCCTGACCTGACACCTCCCTCCTGTTGGTAGTCTCACCGTGCCGCTCGTGCTCAACCTGTCTCTCCTGTTCCAGGTTCCCACCTTGTTACTCCGTTCTTATGTATCGCGTGCTCCTCCCGCTCCTGTTCTCCTGTCGCCTCCTCCGTCGTCCCTCTCTGTCTCTTCGCCTCCTCTCTCTGACTTCCCCCATGCTGCTAGTCCTCTTGTTCCTCGGGTCCTTGCCTCCCTTGTTACCGACCCGTCTGTTCCTGTCTCCAGACTCTCGGCTCTTCTCGCTGCAGTCGCTGACTTTGACTCTACTTGCCGCATTGACTACGCCACTGCTCAGGTCTCTGACCCTGCCCGTCCTCTGTCCATTGGGGGTGCACCTGCCCTTGGGCATTAACGTCCTAGAGGAAAGGAATTATGAGCTAGCTTTCCTTTCTGAGGCCGCTCCTCATCTCTGCTCCATGCTGCTAGCCCCTGAGGGTGACCCAGACGCTCTGGATATCCCGACCCCACTCACCTACGCTGAGGCGACTTTGGGACACTGGGCCTCTCAGTGGATAGCTTCCATGGACGCAGACATGGCATCTTGGACATCCACCGGCACGTATGTCGACGCAGTTCCCCCACCTTGGGCGAACATAGTCGATGGCCGGTGGCTATTCCAGGTGAAGCGCACTCCTTGAGAGCCGCTGGTGTTCAAGGCGCGCTACATTGCTAGAGGCTTTAGTCAGCGCAAGGGGGTGGACTTCTTCCTGACCTTTGCTCCGACCCCGAAGATAACCACACTTCGGGCGCTGCTTCACATAGAAGCACAACACAACTACGAGCTTCACTCCCTGGACTTCTCTACAACGTTCCTCCAAGGCAGTCTGCACGAGCAGCTCTACCTGCGCCGCCACCAGAATTCTCTGGCACTTTCCCACCTGGGACTGAATAATTTCTCCGGCGCCTGGTTTATGGTCTGCGGCAGGCGCCCCGTAAGTGGCACAACATACTGCGTGCTATGTTAGCAGAACTGCAGTTCTTCCCATCCCTTGCTCACTCGTCCCTCTTCGTTCACTCAGGCCAGACTCCGTTCAACATCCTAGTCTATGTAGATGACCTGGACCTCGCTACTACAGAAAGCGACATGCTGGCCTGGGTGAAGGACGATCTGCTGAGGAGACACACCTGCACTAACCTAGGAGAGCTGCGCCGCTACCTTGGGCTGCAGATTTCCAGGGGCAGAGCAGCGCGCACCATCACTCTCCTGTAAGAAATAGAGTTGAAATGATCGATTAGGTAAGGAGCACAAGGCTCTATAAGTACATGGCAAGGTGAGAGAGAATGGATGAAGGGGGGAATCGGAGGGAATCCCCATTGGGATCTCCAGAATCTCCAGTTGGGTAATTGGAGATTGGGGGGATCACAAATGGGTGAGGTTGGTATTTGTGAGTACACCCCAACCCACCACAACATTCATAACCTCAACTAGGATATAAAAGTACAAATACAAAAGTGGGATTTGTAGTCTATTTCTAACACACCCCCATAGACTGCAAACCCGGTCAAGGAGCACATAGCCCCATGGAACGGAGAAGGCAATGGTGGTCAGCCGTGCTGAGAGCCTTGATAAAGAGGTCGGCGAGGTTGCAATCTGAGGCGATGTACCGTACCGTCAGCTGGTCACTCTGAACAAGATCTCGGATGAAGAAATGACGAAGTTCGATGTGCTTGGTGCGAGAGTGGAACACAGGATCCTTGGTGAGGTGAATGGCACTCTGGTTGTCACACCACAGGGTGGGCAAATGCTGGGGGTAGCCTAAGTCAGCGAGGAGAAAGGAGAGCCAGCGTGCCTCTTGAGCAGCCATTGTGCTTGCGTAAGGCTCGGCCTCGCAGGATGACAGGGAGACTTCAGAGGACCGAGTGGAGCGCAAGCTAATGACTCCGCTACCAAGGGTGAACATGAGTGAACCGACTAGCTCAGGGTACGGTTCCTTGCAGGCGTCAGGATAAGGAATTGGAGGGGCCGTAAGTTGATGCTGTAGTGGGAGTGGAGTCGAGACAGAGTTACTGGAGTCCATGTCGAACCGCTTGAGAAGGTTGTCGATGTAGGACTCCTGGGAGAGGGTGATCGTGCAAGCCTGGCGGTCACGAGTGATCTCCATCCCCAGGTAGTTCTTGAGGTCACCAAGATCCTTCATGAGAAGGGCGAAGCTGAGAGCAGACTGGACAGCTGCCATCTCGGCTGGATCTCTGGCGACTAGAATGAAATCGTCGACGTAGACGAGGGTGTAGAAAGGCTCAGAAGAGTGACAAACAAAGAGATTGGAATCTGAGGCAGAGGGATGGAAGTCAAGTGCGAGGAGGACTTCCTTCACCTTGTTGTGCCACTCACGAGGAGCCTGCTTGAGGCCATACACTGGGCGCTTCAGCTTCCACACTGTGTTGGCAGGCTTAGTGCCAGGAAACCCCGGTGGGCATTCCATGTGAACATCCTCCTTGAGCTGGCCTTGGAGAAAGGCGGAGGAGGCGTCCATGGACTTGATATCGAAGTTGCCGCGAACGGCTATATCAAGAAGAGCGCACACAGTCGGGAGCTTGGCCGTGGGCGAGAAGGTTTCGAAGAAGTCGAGATTCTCCTTCTGGGTGAAACCCTTCACCACGTATCATGCCTTGAACTGTGGAGCTTCGCATGGGAGTTTTTTGACTCGGAAGATCCATTTTCAGCCAACGATGTTAACACCGGAAGGGGGAACGACATCGTCAAAGCTGTTGTTACAAATGAACACCTCGTTTTCCACATCCATTGCTGCCTTCCACTCCTTCTTATAAGGGCCCGAGAGAGCTTCCTCTTTTGTGCGAGGAGTCGGAACGGTCGGGTTCTCGATGAAGTTGAGGGAAGGGTAGTCAGTAATTTCCGGGAAGATGTGAGAGAGAAATTGGCAGACCGCGTGAAGGTCAAACAACTCCTCATGCTTGTCCTCCAGAAGTGCACGGGGGGGGAATACGGATGGAGGGGACATCACCCCTGGCAGGAGGAGGCAGGGTGACCAAACAGCGGATGGAGAAGGCGGCTTGTCACAGGATCGAATGTCTCGAGGAAAGATTGCACTATCGATTGGTACAAGGCGCTTTTATACTTCCAGAGTACATCAGGTAAGCAAGTTTATCCTATCCAAAGGGAATAGACCCTTCTAGAATATAGAATCACCCTGCGTATAGCCACGCGAGGCTATTGACTTTAAGGGATTGCGGCAGGATTACGCTAGATAGAGCGCACCAGTACATCCCGAGCCTGGTCGGTGATATAATGATAATAACAGGATAAAACAAAGGTTGATGGAAAAGGAGAAATAGGAATCCAAATGGAATGAGATCAAAACCAAATGGATCAGGATAAAAGGAGGAATGGAATGGAAAGGGAATATGGAAAGGAGAGAGGAATGGAATGGGGTCGTACTCTCACACTTCCCCCCCTCAAAGCTGGGTGGTAGACGTAACACCCTATTTTACAAGGTTGTCACGAAGAGGACGACGAGCGTGGTCCATCTTCGATTCAGAGACCCAGCTATCCTCTGAAGGATCATAGCCCTTCCAACGAATAAGAAGCTCCACGGTGCCATTCCGACAATGGCGATGTGCAAGCACAGACTCGACCTCGTACTCGGGTTCATTCTGGACGAGGACGGGCGCCGGCGGCGGCGGTTGGCTTCCGACGAAGATGGTGTTTGGATCCCGATAGGGCTTCAGCAGTTGGACATGGAAGGCGTTGTGAATCTTCCAGGTAGCTGGCAGGCATAAGCGGAAGGTAACAGGAGTGACCTGTGCTTCAACGAGAAAAGGCCCGCAGAAGCGAGGTTGCAGTTTGGATGGGAGATGGCTGATGTCAAGCTTGCGTGTGTCAAGTAGGACTCGATCTCCCACGGTGATGGACTGGTCTGTGCGATGGCGATCGGCCTGGCGCTTCTTTTGTTGATGAATGTCGAGAAGGCGCTTGTGGGTCCGATCCCAAAGTTTGTGCATAGTCGTAATGAAATCATGAGCGGGTTGGACTGTGGCTGGTATGTTTGGCTGTTGAGGTGTGAGTGGGTGGCGTCCGTAGCAGAGGAAGAACGGCATCTGTCCAGTAGCGGCGTGAGTAGCATTGTTGTAGGCAAACTCCAGGACGGGCAGATGCAAGTCCCATTTGGAGATGTCGTCCTTGCAGGCTGCGCGGAGGAGTTGCTCCACAATTTGGTTGAGGCGCTCGGTCTGTCCATGTGTCTGCGGATGGTAGGCGGATGACATGGCGAGTTTGGTCCCGAGCAGAGACATCTATTCCTTCCAGAACTTGCTGGTGAACTTAGGGTCTCGGTCGGAGATGAGTATGGTTGGAATGCCATGTTGTGAGATGATGTAGCGAACATAGAATTGTGCCGTCTCCTCGCTGCGTGCTGTCGTGTGTGTCGGGATGAAGTGTCCCATTTTGGAGAACTTGTCAATGAGGACGAGGATTGCGTCATGACTGCTTGTGGTAGTTGGTAGCTCGGTGATGAAGTCTAGGCTGACCACTTGCCATGGCTGTTCTGGGACAGGAAGAGGCTGTAGTAGACCCGCCTTTTTCTGCTTGCTGCTCTTCATCCGTTGACATGTAGTGCACGAGGTGACGAATTTCTGTACGTCGTCTGCCATGTAGGGCCGTAGTAGTGTTTGGCGATACCGGTGAGCGTCTTGTTGCTACCGAAGTGTCCCGCGTACAGGACGTTGTGGTATTCTTCGAGTAGTAACTGGCGCAATGGAGGGTAGTTAGGTACCCAGATCTTTGTTGATCCTTTCCGGTACGCGATGTCGTTGTTCCACTGTAGCAGATGTCGCTTTTTTGCCAAGGGAATTTCGGGGTCGATGGTGTACCCGTGTGTGAAGAGTCCCTTGAGGAGTGGATTCATCCCTTCAACTTGGATAGCGGCAACGTGTGCAGGCCGGCTAAGCGCATCTGCTTTGTTTTTATGGCCAGGCTTGTACACGATGTCGTAGTGGAAGTGCGTCTCGAGGAAGTCGATCCACCGAACCTGTCGCCAGGAGAGGCTTGGTTGTGTCTTCAAATATTTTAGGCTCCAATGGTCGGTGTAGACTGTTGTCTTGCATCCTTCGAGATAGCATCTCCATGTTTTGAAGGCGATGATAATAGCCAAGGCCTCCTTGTCGTGTATTGGGTAGTTGAGTTCTGCCCCGTGTAGTTTCTTGCTGAGATAGGTGATTGGTTGCAGTCCATTCCCCTGGTCTTGCATCAAGACTGCTCCCACTGCCTAGTCGATGGCGTCAGCTTCGATGACGTAGTCGTGTTCGGGGTCTGGCAAGATCAGTACTGGTGCGGACGTGAGTGCTTGCTTCAGCTGCTCCACGGCTTTTTGGTGTTGTGGCCCCCATTTATAGGGCGTGTTCTTCTTTAGCGATCTTCGCATATTGCGGCACGAACCTGTTGTAGTAGTTAGCGAAGCCAAGGAACTGCTGTAACTCCTTCATATTCTCGGGTGTCTTCCACGTACGCACGGCTTCGATTTTCTTGGGGTCGACGTGAACTTCTTGAGCGCTTACAATATGTCAGAGGAATTGGACTTTCTCGAGGGCGAAGTCGCTCTTGGATAGTTTGACGTAGAACCGTTCTCGTCGAAGAATTACAAAGACGCGTCGTAAGTGTTCGACGTGTTGCTGCATATTGCGCGAGTAGACGAGGATGTCGTCCAGGTACACCACCACGCATTCGCCCAAGAGTGGGCGTAGGATATGATTCATTTCTGCTTGGAACGTTGCCGGTGCGTTGGTGAGTCCGAACGGCATTACCAGATACTCGTACGATCCGTACCGAGTTCGGAAGGCTGTTTTGTGAACGGAATCGTCCGCCATCCTTATCTGCCAGTATCCGGACCGCAGATCTAATTTTGAAAATACCGTGGCTCCCCGAATCTGGTTGAGCAGATCATCGATTCTTGGAATTGGGTACTTGTTCTTAATGGTCTGCTTGATGAGAGCTCAGTAGTCGATGCACATGCGCATGCTTCCGTCCGGTTTCGGTGTGAAGAGTACTGGGGCACCGTATGGGGAAGTGGATGGTCCGATGAGTCCTTTGGCGAGGAGATACTCAATCTGCTTCTTCATGTCGGCTAGCTCGGTCGGGCTAAGCCGATATGGTGCTCGGAAGGTCGGCTTCGAACGTGGTTCCTCCACGATCTCATGTTGGTGCGTTCGGTATGGCGGTAGCTCGTCCGGGAGGTCGTTGGGGAGAATGTCTTGGAACTCCTTCAGTAATTCCTTGATTTTTCCTGGAGGTTCCGAGGTCTTCTCTTCGTCGGTTTCCACCTCTGTTGCTATCGCCAAAAATCAGGTGTTGGTTCGCTTGACGTCCTTCTCGAATCTGGCGAGTGTCTCCACTCGGATATCTTCTGTATCGTCCCAGTTGGGTAGCTGGACTCTCCTTCCTTGGTTGTAGATGCTTGCAGTGCGGTTTACCCAGTTGATCTCGGGGTTGAATCGTTTTAGGAAGTCTCGCCCGAAGGTCAGGTCAAGCCCTTTTATGTTGGTGATGGGGAGTGCAGGTCTCCAGCGTAGTGGTCCGATTTGTAGGTGTAACACTGCTTCGCCGTACACTGGTAACTTGCTGCCATCCACCATCGTTGCAGAAAACGCTGATGGCTTGTACTCTTCTCGAAGTCGGTCGATGGTTGTTTTGTCGCATATGGTGTGCGATGCTCCGCTGTCCACGAGTGCTTGGAGGCGTCGTCCTTTGCAGATGACCTCGAGCACGAGGGGCAGGCGTTGCTCGGAGTACCCAAAAATAGTTTCATTCATTGGGTCATAGGGTACATCCCAATATTCGTTGCTTCTTACTCCTGAGCTGGCAGCTGGCCGAGGCTTCTTGGAGAAAGGCTCTTCTCCAAAGCCCGGAGTTTCCGTGACGACTATTCGTGTCGTTGACGAAGTTGCCGAGCTGGATGCATCCGAAGAAGGAGTTTGGGGTTTTTGCAGCTTCTTGTAGACCCCCAGCTTCCTTTTGAGCTGCTTCAGCTCCACCGACGTCTTCCCTGGGGAACGGGTAGTCGCTGTGGGCTGGTGTCGGGAGAGGACGTTGACTCCGTGGAAAGGTCGGCTTCTTTCCACACTCCTCAATTTGGTCCCCAAGTTCTCCGGTACCGGTATGATCTCCACAAATTTCTGCTTCTTCTGGAGTCCCTCCCGAAATTTCTCCAAGGCTCTAGCCGCTCGGGAATTACAAGTTTTCATTAAAGCATCTTTATAAGATAACTTGGGATTTCTTGGGTCTTCAAGGAGTTTCCCCGTCTCGGCAGAGTCCTTTTTCGCGGAGTTAGATTTTTCCTCGGCGAATTCCTCTGGGAAAGATTGGTCTTGGGGTGGAGATTTTTCCCCATCATTATCTCCTATTCGCGTCGAATCAGCTGCGTCGAAGGTGATTTTTCCGGAAGTCCGCGGCCGCTTTCGAATCTTTTATTTTTCACCAGCTAGATCCGCAATTACTGGCGAGTCCCGTTTTTTGGCTTCTGATTGGCCGAAGGATTTCCGCCACTGTTGCGTGCCCGATACTCAGCGCGTGCGGCTTTCATTTTGTTGCAGTCGAAGATTCGATGACCTGGCACCCCGCAAAAATCGCACGTGAAGTTGGTGTTTTTCGGACGTGGCCGCCCTTCGAACCTGTCGACTTCCATCGGGTCGGCGAACGTGGTGTGAGCCGAGCGGTCGCCCTGTCGCGTACTGCCGATGTGCGTCCGACGTGTCCCAGCGTTGACCATGTCGAAGCGTTCCGCGGCCGATACGACATCACTGTAGCTCGCGTAGTTTGTCGCTCCCACTTGTCGTTTGACTTCGGTCTTCAGCCCGTCAAGGTAAGACTGTACTTTTTCCCCTTCGGTCAGGTTGGGAATGCGGTTATAGAATTCCTCCATCTGCTGCGTGTACTGCGCTACACTCCCGAACTGTCGATGGCGATGAATTTTTTCCCGGGCAAGGAAACCCGAATTTATCAGCTCGAAGCGTTTCAGCAGGTCGGTGCTGAACTGCTGCCACGTGGCTTCACCGTGGATGAAGGTGCTGTTACCGCCGATCCACTCGAGTGCCGGCCATCGCATCAGTGTCGCCGCGAGTTGTACGCGTTGACCGTCCCAGACTAGCGAGCTCCATCCGACGGCTGCGAAGTAGATCTCCATGCCAGCGATCCATCTGCGGACGTCGGAGTTTCGATCGCTCGGATCGAACGGCTCAGGTGGGCGCGGTTTTGGAGCCTTGAGAAAGTGCTGCAACTGCTGCGTCGTCGCCGTTGTCGTTTTGTGTTGCATTCCGGCGAGTCGAGTTACTCGCTCGATCTCGTTTCGCCAGGCTTCGCGATCCGCTCGCATCTTCTCCAGAAGGGCTGCGATGCTCGTGAAGAGCTGCTGGGTAACCTCGGCGTTGTCGAAGGTCGCCATCCTGTTCAAAACACGCGCGAGGGGGGGGGGGGGGGGTAATTCACAAAACGCGGAGCTGGTGCTTACTAGAATCGGCGTCGAATTGGTCGCCCCCGGCGGTTTTTCGAGGCAGGTTTTCCCGCTGCTGCTGCTTTGTTGAGCGTGGCCGAGTGAGAAAATCTCTGATTACCGAGTGTCACAAGATCAAATGTCTCGAGGAAAGATTGCATTATTGATTGGTAAAAGGCGCTTTTACACTTCCAGAGTACATCAGGTAACCAAGTTTATCCTATCCAAAGGGAATAGACCCTTCTAGAATATAGAATCACCCTGCGTATAGCCACGCGAGGCTATTGGCTTTGAGGGATTGCGGCAGGATTACGCTAAATAGAGCGCGCCAGTACATTCCGAGCCTGGTCGGTAATATAATGATAATAACAGGATAAAACAAAGGTTGATGGAAAAGGAGAAATAGGAATCCAAATGGAATGAGATCAAAACCAAATGGATCAGGATAAAAGGAGGAATGGAATGGAAAGGGAATATGGAAAGGAGAGAGGAATGGAACGGGGTCGTACTCTCACACGGCTGGTCTCCAGGCGAGAGGCGGAGCCGGTCCCTTGGAACGAGTGCGACTATAGACCGGAGACAAAGGCGGCTGCGGTGGGACCGGAGGGACTGGGCGCCTCTAGAAGGAGATTGGTGAGCCGGTCTCGACGCGCGGGGAAGGCGGAGCAGGAGGAGGTGCTGCTGCGGAGGATACCGGGGAGGCCGGGTGAGACACGCCGGACGGAGTAGGCCCCGGAGAAGGGGCAGCGGCCGGAGGTGGGGCATCGAAGTCTGCCCATACAAGCGTCGGGGGAGGTGGAGGAGGCTCGCCCGTGGTCGCAGAGTGGAAGGGGCGTGTCTCATCGAAGACGACATCACGGCTGCGAATCAGCTGTCTGGTGATTGGGTTGAGGAATAAGTAGTCTGGGGAGTCGGAGTTGAGCCCCAGGTACATGCAGGTCTGGGTTTTGGGACCAAGCTTGCCACCTTACTTCCTGCGCGTGTGGGGGCTGAGCAAAACATACGTGTTACACCCCCAGACGCGTAGAGACCGGGCGGAGGGCGTGGCCCCAAGCCAGAGAGTGGTAGGTGTGGTGTCGGGCCGGTGGGGATGCGGATAAAGATTGTAGAGGAGTGCCACATGGAAGAGGGCATATCCCCAGAGTGACCGTGGTGCGTTGGCGTGACTGAGGAGGCAGCGAGCGATTTGATCTAAGGTGTGGTTGCGGCTCTCTGCAATGCCGTTCTGCTGCGGGCTTTCGGGGAGCGTGAAGGTTTGCCGAATCCCTTGGGCCGCACAGAAGTTATCGAGTTTGCCATTGCGAAATTCTCCCCCGCCATCAGAATGGAGGCACTTTAGAGGAGTGCCGAATGTGAGTTGAGCCTGGCGCACCCACGCCATGATGACATCAGGTGCCTCCGCCTTGGTATGCAGAAGGTGCACAAAAACATACCACGAGTGGTCATCGACTAGTGTAAGAAAATACCGATGACCGCCTCAAGATGCGACTGGAGCTGGGCCCAAGACATCCATGTGCACTAGGTCCAGCGGAGCAGCTGCGATGGATGGGGAGGAAGGGTGCGGCTACTGACTGAGCTTGCTCTTGGTGCAGTCCAGACAGGTGGGTGCAGGTGAGTCTGTTGGTGGAGGAAGCGACGACGGGAGGCTAGGAGGAAGTTTCTTGGAAGCGATGTCGGCAAGTGTACGGAAGTTGGGGTGACCCAAGCGATGGTGGTAGAGGATGGTTGGGTTGGCGAAGCTGCGACACGAACACGGAGTGGTGCTGGCAGCTTGCGCTTGGGAGAGGGCGGCGAGAGGTGCAGGTGAACGCAGCGTGTAGAGCTTGCTGCTGTTGAGTGTGAAGCGTGCTAGGAGCTTGTTGGACTTAGGGTCGAAGAGGTCACAATGATCCGAGTGTGGTGGGAGGATCGTGGTGACGCCTGCCCGGTGGAGCTCGTGTTGGGCCACGAGATTGTGGCGTAGTGTGGGAACATACATGCCAATCACACTGCCCGAAGGGAAAGCTGGGCACGAAACTGTGGAGGAGCCCTTGGCGTGTGTTGTGAAACTAGAGTCTGCTCCTAGTAGACAGATTGGTGTGTCGTATGGCTTGAAGGAGTGTTTCTCCTTGAGAATTGTGTGAGTGGCCCCACTGTCGAGGGTGAACTCTATTGTGGCTGAGGTGCTTTGTGAGCCAGGACATTGCGAAATTGTCTCATTAATCATGCCAGTGCCAGGGAACAACATGTTGAGCCGTACATCAGCAGGGGGAGCTACAGCCGCCTGCACGGAATCCTGCACTTCGACTTGATTGACCTTGCGAGGAGCACGATTGACCATCCAGCTTGGCGGCTTCGAGGCGGTCCCATTGACGGCATACCACTCGTCATCCTTCTTCTTAAAGCAGGAGGCAAGGGTGTGGTTGGTGCCGCCACACACCTGGCCGGCACGAGGGCCGTGCTTGATGACGTAGGCACACGTGGGGAAGCGGTTGCACTGGAATGGTGACGAAGCAGCATAGGCATGAGGCACGGGAGGGCGGATTGCATTGGCCTTGGCTTGAGTGCTGTTGTCCTTTTCGGCACAAAGGAGCACGGATGAGACCTTGGCAAATGTGAGGTCCGCAGGAGCAAGGCCCAAGAGCATCTTGCGTGTGACTTCGTATGCCGGAGTGAGGCCGACTAGGAGAGCGGCTGCAGGGGCTTGCTCGGGGAAGACTATCCCCAACTGCTTGAGTTCACCATGAATGGACTGCACCTTGGTGACATAGTCCGCCATGCCTGGCGAATCCTCGAGCCGCACTTGGAACATGCTGGGGATAAGTATAGCAACTCCCACTGCAGTCTTGTTCAGGAAGCGGTCT